AAATGAATTTTTATTAGATTATTACTAACTGAGATATATTATTGAAGTTTTCATAATTCGAACATATCCAGAAAATTTGAAAATGCAGTCGGTCATTTTTCTTATTTGTGTTACCAATCGAAAGACGCACAGAGTGAAGAGTATAAAGATTCTAATCACAAACGACGAATGCGATATGATTGTAAAGGGAAAGTTATAGTGCGCATCGATATGATTCTCAGTATTATAATAGTGGATATATATCACGAATTTCTCCATCCGCGTCCAAACCTTTGCATTGAGATGCTCAATGAACTACGGGAAGAGATCAATACACATTCGCACCTTACTGTAGTGGACTTAAAAAATCACCTACGACATCAAGGATTCGATATCTCAAAGTACTCTTCCAAGCGCATTTACTTCTGGAAGTCTATAGCAGACCGGAATTTATTCCAACGTTATGATGACCACGTTGAATCCGCTCGCAAGTTGCTCAATGAATACGATAGTCATGGTTTCCATTTGTGCCTTGATATAAAAGATTCGGAGACCACAGCTATCAGTTTTACTACTCCGTTGCTGAACGAAATCAAGAATTATGGCATTAATAAAACTGCACGTGGACGCTACGAACTTTATGGTATCATAGCAGAAGTTAAAGGCACCAGCTTCCCAATTGCCTATCTTATACTTGATACAACTAAGGCAGATACAAGTACTAGTACGGGCAAATGTTGTAAAGTCTTGGAGAGCTTCTTAGAAATCTTGAAGCTATATGATATTAATCCAGGATTTGTGTTTACTGATAAAGATTTTGCAGAGATTAATACAGCGACTAAGGTGTGGGGACTTTTGACAGTTCAATTATGTGCTTGGCACATGAATCAGGTCCTAAAACTTAAGCTCAAAGAGAAATCCAAGCCATTAAATAATACAGATTATGAAATACAACATGAAACACAATTACGTACTGTAGCTTACAATGTCAGTAAAGCAACTAACGAGTTTGACTTTATTAATCCCACCTTTTACCCAACACAAGAAGATCGTGATTCAAGGACGTACGTTGTCTGTCCACCAGCATATCGAGAGTCGATTTTGAAGCTGATGCAGAAACATTTCGATATGCACCCATTAATACCCATCAATGCTCAAGGAAACTCCATGACATCAACAGATACACTACCTGGACAAAAGTCTTGCACACCGAAAAATTTTAATTGTACAAAATTACACATAATAATTATATTT